CACCCCTCCGCACGCCACAGACATGAAGGTTCTCGTTATTGGTGAGTTGGGAATGGTTTTCCTTATTTCCTGAAAGTTATTGTATGAAATATCAATACTTGTTTCATGCCCAGTAGACATATAACAGTTTATTCACACCAGGGATTTGTGAATAGGTATATCGTCTTCCTTTTAGATTTAAAATGCTTTATTAGATGAACTGATATTTACCCTCGTAATGCATTTCCAGTGACGCTGGCAGCTGCCGCTGTCGGCCAGCAGTTCCAGCAGCAAAGGCAGTACGACACTGCCGTCCGCCTTGCCACTCCCGGATACTTCACACAGGGTGGAAGCTTCACCTCAGCTTCCTTCCAAAACGCAAATGGCCGACTGCAAGGCGACTCCTTCCAGAACTCTTTCCAGACTGCCACTTCAGACGCCAACACCTTCCGTCAGTCTGGACTCTTCCAGAACAGCAACCAGCTCCAGAGGAATGCTGGCACCAACCGCAACCAGTTCCAGACTGGTTCCTCCAGCAGAACTCCTTCGACTCCAACGCCTTCCAGCAGAACACAAGTCCATTCCAGCAGAACTCAAACGCTCAGTCTGCCAACCGCTTCTTCCAGTCAGGTTCCAGTCAGTTTGGTTCCGACAACCGGTTCCAGACCAACGCCAATCAGATTAATTCCGGAAGCCGATTCCAGTCCGCCAACCAACAGGACAACTCTTTCCAGACCTTCGACAACCAAAGGAACTCTGCTTCCACATTCTCCACATTCAACAACCAACAGAACCTTGGTGGTCAGTTCCAGCAACGTTCTTCTAGTGGTTTCCAGTCAGCTTTAATCAGCAGGATTCCAACAACCAATTCCAGTCCAGCTTCAACAACCAGAATTCAAACAACCGATTCCAGTCCAGCTTCAATAACCAAGATTCCAACAACCGATTCCAGTCCAGCTTCAACAACCAGAATTCGAAAATTCCAGTCCACCTTCAATAACCAGAATTCAACAATCGATTCCAATCCACCTTCAACAACCAGGATTCCAACCGTTTCTCTCAGAACTCTCAGACCAGCTCCTTCCTTCAATCCTCCAGCGACTCCGTCAGCGGAGTCTTCGAGCCTCTGAACCTTCCCTCCGGCGCCAGTGCCTTACTGGGAGGCATCACCAGCGCCTTCAGCTGCCTCGACCGTCCCTACGGCTACTACGCTGACCAGGACAACTCGTGCCGTGTCTTCCACGTGTGCAACCCGACGCTCTTCTCCAACGGCGCCGTCGAAACCTACCAGTACAGGTAAGTGACCTCATTATCCATATAGTTAACAGAAATTGTAAGAAAACTACCAGAGAACTACCTGCAATGTTGAATAGCCTTTCAAAGCGTATAGGAAAAATAAAGGAAAGCATTTGTGTACAAAGTAATATTTTGCTTTATTGAGCATTTTCCAAGCACCTAAGTCTTATGTTTCTCTGCACAGCTTCATGTGCGGCGAGGGTTCGGTGTTCGACCAGAAGGAGCTGACCTGCGTGGCGGAGTCGTCCGCCATCCCCTGCCAGGAATCCTCCAACTACTTCTACACCAACGAGCAGTTTGGACGCCCCGAAGATAAATCTTTTTAAGAGAATCAAAGACACACCTTTACAAAGACGGATTATTTTGTTCTTGCGTAGTACAAGGAGGAAGCTTATCTGTACCTTCAGTATATGAAGTGTATTTTCCAATAAATTAACCAAAGAAATGCTGTTTCATCATTTTGAGCATGTACCTCTGTATTGTGATAGATAAATGAAACAAAGCCAGGCAGATAAAAATGTTCTGTAAAATTTTAAGGCTATGTAAAAGTAATAAATTCTAGCGTTACAACATAAATAAAACGGTGCTATTATATAATATATATATATATATATATATATATATATATATATATAATATATATAAATATATATATATATATACAATGAAAAATAATAAAAAATCTATTCAGCAACCTATTTCCCAGGAAACGTGACAATGTCCATCCCTTCACGTATTCCAAAAACACTTGAGTTCCTGACGGTTGTTGCTTTACCAGCTTCGTTGTAGGGAATAGGCTTGGAAACAACAAACACTGCAATGAAATTGATTTTGTATACACACACGTGGTTGTTTACATAGTATATATCTACATCTATATTTATTTATATCTATATCTATATCTTTTATTGATATATATCTATAGTGTATGTAAGTGTGATTGCACGAATGTGTGCCGACAGATTTAGATACATAAAGCAATTACTATAACTTGAATTGTCTCACGCCGGTTCATTCGTCATAGGTGTGTCAAGATCAAGAATAAATGTTTCTTTGCTTTAAACTCAGATATCGCCACTACCGCCTATAATCAGACATTTTCAGAATCAAATTGCTACTGAAAGTACATGGATTTCCGTGAACAACTTGAAAGCGTTTCAGTGGTCGTTGTCCTGCGTGTTAGTTTAGAGGGTTTGTGAAACGGACGAGCAGATTGCGGTGCTATGCAGGTCCAGTATTAGTAGTCCTTTCTCGCTATCAAAGATTAGTTGTTTACGAATTTCAATAGATCTATTTTTGGTCTACAAGACGTACAAACACTTTATGAATGTAAATATATGTATATATATATATATATATATATATATATATATGAATCTATATATATACACACACACATATGTGTACGTGTGCATGGCCGAGCGCCTATGTTTATGAGTTTGCACGTAATATACATATATATATATATATATATATATATATATATATATATATATATATATATATATATATATATATATATATATATGTGTGTGTGTGTGTGTGTGTGTGTGTGTGTGTGTGTGTGTGTGTGTGTGTGTGTGTGTGCATTGCCCATGCACAAAAAATGCATTTATCTTTATATATACATACATAATATACACTCAAATACTTATATTACACACACAAGTATATATACATATATATGTATATACCTATATATACATATATGCATACACACATGTGTGTGTGTACATTATACACATATATTTATCTTTATACATACATACATAACACACACACAAATTTATATTCTTATGTGTGTTTTTTGCAAACGCGCGCCTATGTGTTTATGTGTTCTTGTACGTAAATAAATAAATATATACATGTGTGTATACATATATGTGCGTGTGTGTATTTGTGTGTATATACATCATACAACATATCTTATCTTTATCAATACATAATACGTAGGTACACATACACACAGACACATATATATATATATATATATATATATATATATATATATATAATATATATATATATATATATATATATATAATATATATATATATATATATATATATATATACATATATACATATATATATATATATATATATATATATATATATATATATATATATATATATATATATTATATATATATATATACATATATACACATTATATATATATATATATATATATATATATATATATATATATATATATATATATATATATATATTATATATTATATATATATATATATATATATATATATATATATATATATATATATATATATATATATATGCGTGTATTCATTCACAAATAAAAGTTATAACACGATATTTAATGAGAAGCAACAATATTGGTTCCTATCAATCACAATCATATCAATTTCAGTTCGTACAAACCAAGGATCTTCGCATCTATATCCATAGCGCTGATATTCTTAAGCTTAGTGTTGTGTTAGTCCATTCCATTCAAAACGCAAGCTATCATAGCGTGACAAATAGCCGGCCTGCTCCTTTCTCCCTGCCAGGACCTGCCCCGACCTCTGACAGTGAGTGTCCCGCCCTTCACAGCCGGACTATATAAGGACGAGGCATAGCACACAGGTCATAGTCGGACGCTCCCCTCCGCACGCCACAGACATGAAGGTTCTCGTTATTGGTGAGTTGGGAATGGTTTTCCTTATTTCCTGAAAGTTATTTATGAAATATCAATACTTGTTTCTTGCCCAGTAGACATATAACAGTTTATTCACAGCAGGGATTTGTGAATAGGTATATCGTCTTCCTTTAGATTTAAGATGCCTTATTAGATGGACTGAAATTTTCCCTCTTAATGCATTTCCAGTGACGCTGGCAGCTGCCGCTGTCGGCCAGCAGTTCCAGCAGCAAAGGCAGTACGACACTGCCGTCCGCCTTGCCACTCCCGGATACTTCACACAGGGTGGAAGCTTCACCTCAGCTTCCTTCCAAAACGCAAATGGCCGACTGCAAGGCGACTCCTTCCAGAACTCTTTCCAGACTGCCACTTCAGACGCCAACACCTTCCGTCAGTCTGGACTCTTCCAGAACAGCAACCAGCTCCAAAGGAATGCTGCCACCAACCGCAACCAGTTCCAGACTGGTTCCTTCCAGCAGAACTCCTTCGACTCCAACGCCTTCCAGCAGAACACAAGTCCATTCCAGCAGAACTCAAACGCTCAGTCTGCCAACAGCTTCTTCCAGTCAGGTTCCAGTCAGTTTGGTTCCGACAACCGATTCCAGACCAACTCCAATCAGATTAATTCCGGAAGCCGATTCCAGTCCGCCAACCAACAGGACAACTCTTTCCAGACCTTCGACAACCAAAGGAACTCTGCTTCCACATTCTCCACATTCAACAACCAACAGAACCTTGGTGGTCAGTTCCAGCAACGTTCCTCTAGTGGTTCCAGTCAGGCTTTAATCAGCGATTCCAACAACCGATTCCAGTCTAGCTTCAACAACCAGAATTCCAACATCAATTCCAGTCCAACTTCAACAACAAGAATTCCAAATCGATTCCAGTCCACTTCAACAACCAGAATTCCAACAACCGATTCCAATCCACCTTCAACAACCAGGATTCCAACCGTTTCTCTCAGAACTCTCAGACCACCTCCTTCCTTCAATCCTCCAGCGACTCCGTCAGCGGAGTCTTCGAGCCTCTGAACCTTCCCTCCGGCGCCAGTGCCTTACTGGGAGGCATCACCAGCGCCTTCAGCTGCCTCGACCGTCCCTACGGCTACTACGCTGACCAGGACAACTCGTGCCGTGTCTTCCACGTGTGCAACCCGACGCTCTTCTCCAACGGCGCCGTCGAAACCTACCAGTACAGGTAAGTGACCTCATTATCAAATATCAACAGAAAAATATATGAAAACCCAGCAAATGATACTTTGAGAATATTTTGCTGAGCATTTTTCAAGTATCTAAATCTAATGTTTCTCTGCACAGCTTCATGTGCGGCGAGGGTTCGGTGTTCGACCAGAAGGAGCTGACCTGTGTGGCAGAGTCGTCCGCCATCCCCTGCCAGGAATCCTCCAACTACTTCTACACCAACGAGCAGTTTGGACGCCCCGAAGATAAATCTTTTTAAAAGAATGGAAAACTATCCTTTACAAAGCAGATAATTTGTTCTTGATCTGCTACATAGCAGGAAGTTAATTAGTAACTTCATCAGATGAAGTGTATTTTCCAATAAATAAACCAAAGAAATACAGTTTCATCATTTTGAGCAAATGCTTAACAATAATGAGAAATAATGAAATCAAAACCAAGGACTTCTTGGATGCGGCGAACAATTGCTGGGCAGAATTATTCCATTTCAGCAATTCATTATCATGAGATTATGTAAGGGATAAAATCTTTCAACTGTACAACAAAGAAAAACAATACTTCTCACAAAATTGGTTCTGTTCAGTGAGTTACTTCCCAGGAAACGTGACAGAACATCCATCTGTTCCCCTTCTGCAGCAAAACATAGGTGTTTACTTCGGGTGTTGTTTAAGCAGCTTCAGTGTAGGGAATAAGATTAAAAACAGCTGGAACGAAAGTGATTCTATATGCACACTTGTTTGTTTATATACAGTATCTATCTATATTCAGATCTATCCTTATTTATCCTTATCAATCTTTTTATTGATCTATGTATCAACAGTATGTGAACGTGTGATGTCTATGTGCACACAGATGTAGATACACAGCGAAATGAATAACTTAATTGGTTCATGTTCGGTTTGTTTGCATGGTAAGCTTGACATCAACACTGATAACATTTCTTTGATTTCTATCTGAAAATCAGCGCCATCTTCTGTAATCAGACTTAAAGATTTAAATTGTTAATAAGAAGTTTCGTGAACGACTTTAAGGACATTTTAGGGTTCGTGGTCCTGCTTTTTCGTTTTGAGGAATTGTGAAACGGACGAGAGAGGACTGCGCTGTGACACTAGTCCAACGCTGTCGAATAGACCTCTGTCACAGTTAGATAAATTAATTGCTTACCTATTTCAAAAGGATTTTTTTGTCTTCAAGATGTACAGACGTTATATATATATATATATATATATATATATATATAATATATATATATATATATATATATATATATGTATATATGTGTGTGTGTGTGTGTGTGTGTGTGTGTGTGTGTGTGTGTGTGTGTGTGTGTGTGTGTGTGTGTGTGTGTGTGTGTGTGTGTGTGTGTGTGTGTGTGTGTGTGTGTGTGTAAGTAATGTATATATAATGTGTATATATACAATATAAATGTGTGTATGTAAGTGTGCGTGTGTTTGTGTATATATGTGCTTGCACATAATAAATACATATATATACATATATATGTATACATATACTTATATATACATATATGTATGTGTATGTATACAGATGCATACCTACAAATATATATATATATATATATATATATATATATATATATGTGGTGTGTGTGTGTGTGTGTGTGTGTGTGTGTGTGTGTGTGTGTGTGTGTGTGTGTGTGTGTCTGTGTGTAGGCATGCATATACACACACATATATACATATATATATATATATATATATATATATATATATATATATATATATATATATATATATATATATATATATATATATATATATATATATATATATATATGTTTAAATATACATGCGTATACACACATATATGTATATTCAAATACATATACATACATATGTATATATATGCATATATGTATGTATATATATATGTATATATGTATATATATATATATATATATATATATATATATATATATATATATATATATATATATATTAATATACGGGGAGAGAGAAAGACACATGCATATATACATCTACCTATATATACAGTATATATATATATATATATATATATATATATATATATATATATATATTATATATATATATATAATAATATATATACAAGTATATACACATTTATACATAAATGTATATATATTCAGTTACGTGGTATGTTTATGAATACATACACATATGTATATAAGCATATATATACTTACATATATATATATATATATATATATATATATATATATATATATATATATATATATATATATATATATATATATATATGCATATACATACATATGTATATGTATATGTACACACACATATGTTATATATATAAGTATATATGTTTTCATACATATGCAACTATGTATACAAATACTAGGGTTTTAACACGTGGGGTAAAGAGGCAGCATTTGTACTTTCAATATTGGGTCGAAATCACGAAAATGATTGGGGGGGGGGGCTAAACATTCTCAAGAGGGTCCTTTCTACACTTATCATTGCCTGTCACAATCATATCAAAGACTATTTTTCAAACAAACCACGGCCACGTTAAATCTATATTCATGGCGCTGGAATTCTTATGCTTGATGTTGTATTAGTCCATTCCATTCAAAACGCAAGCTATCATAGCGTGACAAATAGCCGGCCTGCTCCTTTCTCCCTGCCAGGACCTGCCCCGACCTCTGACAGTGAGTGTCCCGCCCTTCACAGCCGGACTATATAAGGACGAGGCATAGCACACAGGTCATAGTCGGACGCACCCCTCCGCACGCCACAGACATGAAGGTTCTCGTTATTGGTGAGTTGGAATGGTTTTCCTTATTTCCTGAAAGTTATTGTATGAAATATCAATACTTGTTTCTTGCCCAGTAGACATATAACAGTTTATTCACAGCAGGGATTTGTGAATAGGTATATCGTCTTCCTTTTAGATTTAAAAATGCTTTATTAGATGACTGATATTTACCTCGTAATGCATTTCCAGTGACGCTGGCAGCTGCCGCTGTCGGCCAGCAGTTCCAGCAGCAAAGGCAGTATGACACTGCCGTCCGCCTTGCCACTCCCGGATACTTCACACAGGGTGGAAGCTTCACCTCAGCTTCCTTCCAAAACGCAAATGGCCGACTGCAAGGCGACTCCTTCCAGAACTCTTTCCAGACTGCCACTTCAGACGCCAACACCTTCCGTCAGTCTGGACTCTTCCAGAACAGCAACCAGCTCCAAAGGAATGCTGCCACCAACCGCAACCAGTTCCAGACTGGTTCCTTCCAGCAGAACTCCTTCGACTCCAACGCCTTCCAGCAGAACACAAGTCCATTCCAGCAGAACACGCTTCTTCCAGTCAGGTTCCAGTCAGTTTGGTTCCGACAACCGATTCCAGACCAACGCCAATCAGAATTCCGGAAGCCGATTCCAGTCCGCCAACCAACAGACAACTCTTTCCAGACCTTCGACAACCAAAGGAACTCTGCTTCCACATTCTCCACATTCAACAACCAACAGAACCTTGGTGGTCAGTTCCAGCAACGTTCTTCTAGTGGATTCCAGTCAGCTTTAATCAGCAGGATTCCAACAACCGATTCCAGTCCACCTTCAACAACCAGAATTCCAATGACCGATTCCAGTCCACCTTCAACAACCAGAATTCCAACAATCGATTCCATCCACCTTCAACAACCAGGATTCCAACCGTTTCTCTCAGAACTCTCAGACCAGCTCCTTCCTTCAATCCTCCAGCGACTCCGTCAGCGGAGTCTTCGAGCCTCTGAACCTTCCCTCCGGCGCCAGTGCCTTACTGGGAGGCATCACCAGCGCCTTCAGCTGCCTCGACCGTCCCTACGGCTACTACGCTGACCAGGACAACTCGTGCCGTGTCTTCCACGTGTGCAACCCGACGCTCTTCTCCAACGGCGCCGTCGAAACCTACCAGTACAGGTAAGTGACCTCATTATCCATACATCAACAGAAATGTAAGAAAACTCCCAGCAAATGATACTTTGAAATATTTTACTGAGCATTATCAAGCATCTAATTGTGATGTTCTCTTCACAGCTTCATGTGCGGCGAGGGTTCGGTGTTCGACCAGAAGGAGCTGGCTTGCGTAGCGGAGTCGTCCGCCATCCCCTGCCAGGAATCCTCCAACTACTTCTACACCAACGAGCAGTTTGGACGCCCCGAAGATAAATCATTCTAAGAAAAATCCTATTCATAATTATCAATAAATTTGGCCAATAATTGAAACTAGATCCTGAATTACCTTTAAAAAGGATTTACCCTCATATAACAGAAATATCGTTACAATAGCATATGACTAGATATAAGAATAATTTAGCCAAAAAGGCAAGTTTCATACAATATGAATAGCAGACTTTGGACATTGTTTTCTATACAATTTCGAGCGTATGCAGATATAACTATTTGTGTTGACACATGCGTATAAAGTATATGTATGTTATGTGTATGTTTCTATTTATATATACATACATATATATGTATATATATAGATAAATATATATAATATATAGATATAGATATACAGATATATAGACATAGATACATACATATATATGTATATATATATATATATATATATATATATAATATATATATATATATATATATATATATATATATAAACATGTGTGTGTATATATAAACATACCAAAGTGGATGACAAACTTAGGAGCATTAAACGGAAATGGCGGTGGGCAGCTCCAGGTCAGAAAGACAGACAAAAAGGTAACAGACTGGGAAACATCTCTTGCACAAGGCGACCAAGACAGGAAAGAATAGGTGCTAAATTTGTCAAGGCAGACAATTATTATTTTTTTTAAGACGGTTTAATTGTCAGGGATTTTGTTTTCCAAAGCTCCATGAATA